TCGATTTGCGCGGCCAGCGAACGTTGAAAACCGAAACTGGATGTGAACTAAGGGTGAGGAAAATGGTTGAGCAATAGAGCGTAAAATGGATCAGGGATGGTGGATAGCCCTGAAGATGCTTTATCGAGCAGTGTGGCACAGTTAATAGTCATCCAAAGGAGTTTTCACGTGTTGGCGTGAACACCACAGCCGTCCGAAACGGTTAAGATTGATCGAATTATGATCCATAGGGGTTTGATTCGTGCAAATTGGCTAAGGTGATAGAGGAAATTAATGCGATCCGAGTGAGGGTAGATTGTGTAGCGTATGAGTCACTATCGCAAGTCAGATGTTCACACCCAACATTGACTGTCCTTATATGTGTGCATGTATGTCTGCCTATCGATTACCCACTCACCAGTGACTCGGCTTCAGCTACTTGATAGATGCCCTGTACATGTGCTTGCCAGAATGCACGTTGCGTGCTGTCAGCTCGGTGTGTTCTGTTGTTCCCGAGTCATTGGGCTACGAGCCATTACTGCGTTCGCAGGCTTGCGTTAGCTCCGCAGCGCAGAGTATAACATTGGAGACGGAGTTTTTACTTGGTTATTCGTCACCTTATTCCATCCCTTGCAGCTTGGACTAGATGGAAGAGAAGATTCTGTGACTAACTTGAACCCTACAGAATTATAAACCCTCACATTATTATTACTGAGCACCAATCTGTTAAACTGATGAGACAAGACCAGGGGGCGGAGGGTCAGAGGCAGATCGATGCACTACGGTAGTATGCAAACACTTCCCTGTCCCCTTGCCTGAAGTCCCTTGATGGTCTCTGGGGCTTGCGACAATATGTGTTTACTGCATGACTAAACTTTTTCAGCTACAGCAAGGAGAATTGGCTGACAACTTTAGAAGCCTCATACAGCAGTCCCTGCCTGCTTGCTGCCCACGAAATGTGAAGAGGTTATGGCTATACAATGTTTTCTAGTTGGTATTCGCGAAAATAGGCCGGAGAACATCTACTATATGAAGACGAGAGCAAGCTTACTTGAGAAGCCGCATGCATATTAGTGAAGCAAAGAGAAAACGTGATTCAACAGTTAATTCACTACCAACATTATTGTCCTACAGATGTAATTCACGTGGTCAAGCCTCGATTGTCATCAAACAACAAACGCTCTTTGATGGGCTACAGAGGTGGCGAAAGAAATGAAAGTGTAACTGATTGCAGACACAAACAATCCACTTGCTACAAGTGCAACAAGATCGGATAGCTTGCATGTATTTGCTGCTCAACGTCATGTAACTCACCATCCACCAAATACTGTACGGACAGTAGAGAATTCCGATGAGTCCATGTGTTACTTGATTTCACATACTACCACGTCACATGTGCGTGGAATACCTCCATACGCTGCAGAACTAAAGACCAAGCTGTGCGTCCGGAAATCGATAGATGGTCTCAGTCAGGTTAGACAACAATTGTGCACTACTCGACCTGCCGCCGATCCCGACACAGCCTATTCTATGTTCTGAAACTGGGGAATCGCTAGATGTGCTGTGGATGTGTGAAGTAAGGATTACTCGTAGGGTCGACACTTACCCCTGCACCAATTGTTGTTAACACTAATGGCCTGAAGTTGCCTGGTAGAAATTGGCTCAAATATATGCCGAAAGTACTTCAAACCGTAACAAGTGGACCATATTCCAGACATTCCTTCATTGTTGAAAAGGTGTGCTTGTGATTTTGATGGAACATCGTCCGGTAAACTAAGTGATTTCAATGTTGCTTTCAATATCAGCCCGAACGCTCAGCCGAAATTTTCCAAAGCAAGGAACTTACCTTTTGCTATCCGTCCGAAAGTTAGGACAGAGCTGGAGAGCTTTCAAAAAGATGGAATATTATCGCCAGTACACTACTCATCTTGGGCCACGCTAATTGCTGCCGTACAAAAACCCGTTGGTACCGTCCGTATTTGTAGTGACTACAAATTGACTGTTAACCAAGCGGCGACGTCAGAACACTACCCTATTCCGCGGATAGATGACCTATACGTAACTGTCCGGTGGCCAGAAGTTTTCTAAACTTGATTTAAGCCACACTTTCTCTCAAGCAGAGCTTCATGAATCCGCTAGAGGTAATAACCATCAATTCACACATGAGTCTGTTCCACTACCACAGACTTCCATTTAGAATACATTCGGTATCAGCAATTTATCAGGAGGTTAATGACAACTTGGTGAAAGGAATACCTGGTGTATGCGCTCAGTTAGATGACATGCTAAGTTCTGCTCGCACTGACCGCGAATATATGACATCGTTTGCGAGGGTCTTGAAACGTCCCCAAGACAGTGGACTCAAAGTGAAGGAATCCAAAGGTGTATTTTTCGTCGATAGGGTTCAGTACCTTGGATTTCGTTCGGATAAACACGGTTTGCACCCACTAAAGGAAAAGACACAGCCAATACTTGCCACTTCGAGAACACACAACACCAATGGGTTGCAATCCTTTCTTGGTATGGTAGCACATATAGTCGCTTCCTACCTGATTTGGCCATCATCTTGCGTTCCTGTGCGCTTTACTAGGACAAAACGTCAAGTGGTAGTGGTCAGCAAAAGAACAGATGTCTTTCGATGCGATCAACACAGCCATGGATACGTCTAATTTGTTAGTACATATTGATCCAAAGAAGCCCATCACTCTCCGGTGTGACGTCTCAGCACCAAGGCGCGGCGCCGTACTGTCCCACAAGATAGATGATCAGACCGATAGACCCAGCGCTTTTGCCTCTAGGAAATTGGCGGCGGCAAAAAACTACGCACAACTGGATAAGAAAGCGTTGGCAGTTATATTCGGTTAAAATAGTTCACCCGTAGTTTTAAGAAGTTTCGGAAGCTTTACTGATCATAAACCCTATTAGTCTTGATTGGTGAACGTAAAGACATCGACCAGATGTCATCTCCCCGCATGAAACATTAGGCCTTATTGCTAACAGGATACAATTTATCCTATCTATTATGTCGGCCGGTGTCCGAATGGTTTGCGCGCCTGGTTCGCAAGCATAAGATCCCCGGTTCGAATCCGCGTAGGGGTAGACGTCCTCGCGGTACATTCAGGCAGCGCGTGACTGGTGGTGGCCGCGCGCCGGGGAAGAGCTGACACATTATTATCATTATCTCTTATGTTCCTGGAAAAGTAAACGGCATCGCAGATGCATTGAGCCGGTTGTCGTTGAATCACCTACCTTATTGTGTAATGGAACCGACTGCATTAGTCCATTTAAAACAGCACCTGACGAGGGATATCAGCCGTGGAACAGAGCGAGATGTGATCATCCGCCAAGGATGGCCCGATAAATGTGACCCGGAATTGTTACCGTACTTTACTCGACGCACAGAAGTCAGCCTCGAGGATGACTGCTCCTTATGGAGGTCCAGAACTATTACACCACAGTTACGACAGCATGTGCTGGAAGAACTGCAGAATGAAAGGGCTCGCGCGACCTTATGTGTGGTGGCTCGGCATCGATAGCGACATAGAAAGATTGAGTAGACATTGTGAAGCATGTCAAAACACACAAAGAAACGCCCCACCGGTGCCATTGAGCCCTTGGAAATGGCCCGATAGACCATGGAACCGCATAAATTCAGACTACTTCGGTCCGCTTGATGGGAAGATGCTTCTTCTTATGGTCGATGCCTACTACAAACAGACTGACGTATTTCCGCTGACACGTCACTTCCGAGACAATTGATTCCTGCATGTCAACGTGTTTTAGCACATTCGGTATTCCACAAACACTAGTGACAGACAACACCATTGTATTCACTAATCAACAGTTTCATGAGTTCATTGAAAATAACGGTATCAGACATGTGAAAACCGTCCTTTACCACCCAACCACAAATGGACTATCGGAAAGAGCAGTCAAGACAGTAAAAAGCTCCCTTCGAACGAAGTTGGACAAATGTATTTTGGCTTACCGATCCACCACGATAGGCAAGGGTCCAGGCGAAGTGATGTTCGGCCGAAGACTTAGGACGCGACTAGACCTAGTCTTTTCTGAGCAAAGACTACGCGTCAAGCTCCGGTAAGATAAGTCCAAAAAGAGATATGACCGAAAGGTATCCGATCGACAACTCCGTGAGGACAAGTCAGTTACGTCAATCTACACCCGAACCGGCTTGGCAGCCTACAGTTACGCGAAATTGAAGGCCAGAGAGCGGAGGCTGCACTGCTGGACCGCAGGGTGGTTACCCGTCACAAGTATCACGTTTGTCGTCAATCTGTTTCAATCAGGCCAGACGATCTAGTGCCAGGCCCGTCAAACCGAGCCAGCGGAGGACATGCAATACCCGAAAAAAACAGAAGTCCAACCAATACGCCGCCCGGCAGGAGTATGCCAATCAGTTGATTACTACCAGACTGTCAGGGGAGTGTTAACTAAAGAGAGGAGGAACGTGGCGTGAGTCACTACCGCAAGTCAGATGTTCACACCCAACATTGACTGTCCTTATATGTGTGCATGTATGTCTGCCTATCGATTACCCACTCACCAGTGACTCGGCTTCAGCCACTTGATAGATGCTCTGTACACGTTCTTGCCAGAATACACGTTGCGTGCTGTCAGCTCGGTGTGTTCTGTTGTCTTTGCGTCGTTCGACTATGAGCCGTTACTAGGTTCGCAGGCTTGCGTTAGTTCCGCACGCGTAGACTTGAACAGGCTGAATGTAAAGTCTGAAAATAAAGTTCACATATATAGCGGAAAACGCAGAGCGGGAAAATAATGCGACCGTAGGGACACTTCGTAGGTACAAGCGGTCAAAGCACTCTGTGCAGAGTGGACAAGAAGATTGTCTATGCAGTGGTACTGATCGAACAGTACCAATGTATCGATAGCAAATAGCGCCCTCAAGATGCCGATAAACAAAAATATATAAAACCGAGTCGCTAAAATACGCAAAAATTGTGAATTGATGGGAGATGAATACAATGCAAAAAAGCAGGTGACCTCACCATGATCATTCCACAAGCGATTGGTAGGTAAAAGGTGTAAAAACCCGTTTTCCACTTGGCGATTGCGTCGACGTGGGGTTTGGTGAAATTATCTATAGAGGTAGGAGCACAATTAGTTGGTTTCGAGTAGATAGCATCCAAATGTTGGCCCCAACATGTGCGATAACCGCCTTCGTCAAAAAGCTTTGTTATTTTGAAGTATACATCTTGACTACACCGCTGCAACCGGAAGACCTGATGCAGAAGATACTTTGAGGCCATAATTAGGTGGATGCCGTCATTGATGGCCAAAGAGCCGAACCCCTGTTCCTTCCGTTGGACAAACCAGGAGGGCTTATTGCGACGTGTCGGAGAGTTGTCCATTATGTCATCGAGGACAAGAAAACCAGTATGCATCTAAATGCAGTGTCCATAATTAGGAAAAAATAAAGGCACCATCTCTATGCACCAACCGATGAAATGAGCAACCTGTAAACGACTGGCACTTAACGCTTCGCGTGTACTGAAGGCTTCCAGAGCAGCAGCCACCAGAGCACCTCTAATGTGCTTGCCCCCGATGAGATTTGAAGATATAATCTGTTAAAGAAGGTAAAAGAAACAATGTGCAGAAAGTCATACCAAGTAGTACAATCGCGATAAACAAGCACGAGCAATGGAAGTAAAGCTTTCTAAACAGACCAAATGAACATAGCTAAGTTTGTGTAATTCAGGTTACACTGAGTAATCCAAAAAGTCATCACTTAGTTTAAGCGCCAAATTTGAGTGCGCCGTCTCGACGAAGGTGATGATGCTAAAAGTTGCCGAGGATCTTTAACGATGGCATAGTTGGCAGTAACTGCTCTGGAATTCAACTGTTGCGGAAGCTATAGAAAGCAACGGGATGATGGGGGTCGGAGGTAGCTTTAGCCACATACCTAGATAAGTATAGCAGATTTGAATCTGGAAAAACTTGGGGAGAGGTAGATGGGAACTGCGGATATATGGAGGAACTGGCAAAAACTAAAGGTGTAGTACCCCAGGGTACATAAAGCGGGAGGCGAGAAGGGCAGACAACATCATAGTCAGTCGTCAATGACTTCAGTTCCCGCGGTCTAGTTGATTTATGTCCTCACCGAGCCTTGCGCCAACCAACAGCCGGCGAACGAAGGCTCTCCTTTGAGTGCGACGAACGCACATATGTACGTAGCACATGACCAAGGATACACAGCTTATTCGACATTATTTGGCATTCTGAAGAACAAACCTGAAAATCTAAGCAAATCATCCCTGAAGACGTGTTCGCGCTACTTGACATCGGCAATGATCCAGACTTGTAGGTGTCTCAGTACGAAAAACGAATACAACCCCTCTTGTGGCAGTGTATACATGGGCCACTCGGAACGGGAAGCATCCTCTTCTGGTGACACCTAAGTCTCAAATTCAAGCATGTAGTAGTAGCCCTTGTAAAAAAAACCAACGTGCGCAGTCACACGTCCATGATCGGTAAAGAAGCTACAAAGATTGACAAAAGGAACGAGTGTTCTTAGGTTTTCCATATCAAGATTAAAGGAGTTATCATGTGGTCGGTGAGCTGGGAACACTAGTGCACTTTGAGGGTGCTAAGCACATGACATGCGATGGAAAAATTAAAGAGTTGATCCAGGGTTGACTGTGCAGTTTGATGATTGCCAAAAGAGCAAGACGACATTGTCCGCAAAATCCAGACCAATCAATTTTCCAACAGGACGCAAGTTAATGCATATATCACAAGATTCCGCAGCGGAAAACATCGCGATATAGTCGACGACAACGCTGGACAGTAAGGAAAATTGGACATCCTTTGCGAACGTCATTTGTTGTCAGAAAAAGTTTTAAACCTTCCGACAGAAGGGGCTAAGTTCCACTCCCATAGAGTTAGACGACCTTCACCATGACCTTGTACATACGGCCATTCGGACCGAGCGAAAATAGACTCTGACGAAACAAATGTCATACATTTAAGGTGGTCCCAACCTTCGCTGCTAACACAACCGTAAAGTAAGTTTAACAAGAGTCAAGGGATCATCAGGTGGTCGACGGCCAAAGGGATGAGGCGTCTAGTTTGTAACGAAGAGGTCACCAGCCCAAATCTGCATCGGTATGTGTGACCACGACGTATTTCCAGTCCGCGTGCGATTAGTGTTAGTCGTGAAGCAGAGAAGCGTCAGTGAAGCGCACCGTGTAAGACTGAGGCACTGTCTTGTAACCACAGGGCACCAAAATGTTCGCGTATTTAATGGGACTACGCGCTCGAAGAGGATAGAACGATCAACTGAGTTGAACGTACTCTTGAATCTGAGGAACGCATTGATCGTCGGCCTACTGTACCTGTGGTGCTATCCTAGCAGTTACCTAACAGTCGATACACAATAGATGCAGCTTCGTCCATAACCGTAAACTGGCCTACTCCCCCTAGTTCAGGATTCACGTAAAGCAAGAGAGTAGAGGACAAGAATTCAGGCCAGTAACTTCATCACTGAGGGTAAAGCTAATATCCCGCGGTTAGCACTGCTAGTAGTGTAGCTGCCATGCCCGTACACTGCCACTGATCGGTTCAACCCAGTTGGTTTGTATGGTCTGTTTCATCCTTGCCAATTAGATCAGGTCAATGCTTTGCAGAAGACCTCACCTCCATCATTGAACAGTGAGGGTTCAGGGAAATCCAGACTAGCAGGGCGAAAACGACTAAGGACTGTGATCGAGCTATTTACTACAGCCTCGATGGAGTCACTAAGCTAAGGGACCTTGGCTCAGCCTACAGGAGCGGCGCATCAACTCTGCTGCTCCTCAAAGATTTTGGTCCAAAGAAACAGACTGTAGTACTTATCATGAACTAGAACACAAATGAAGTCCATGATTATCACACCGACGCATTGGTTCTTGAGAACAGTAGTGCAGATCAACTGGAAGTCTGCGGTAATTGCCCGCTACTCAAGATCTGCTCAGATATACCAGGCTTCCTTGCTGAGACGCAGACACTGCCTAATAGTCCGTTTGGTCACATTGTGTTCAGGGACAGCAGGAAATATCCTTTTGGAGTCCAACAGGTGCACAGACAACACAGACATGCAATGACTGGCGCAGTGATGAACAATACTGCCGCAAGCAGAGACCCCGGTGTCGATATATTTTGAAACCGTTTCTTAGATAATTAAGGAGGAGCTAGATAAGCAGAGTACATGGTAGCTGTGCCTGACTGAGATAATGTTTAAGCAGAAAATCGAGAGAAACGATTGCTATGTTTGTAGGCAAAGTGTAGGGAAAGTGGGCAACAAACCAAGACAAGAGCAAAGTCGATGCACGTGCTCTAGAAAGGGCAATCCATAATGGAATAGCGACGCCTGATTCTCACTGCGATGTAGGATATTTGGGTCAGTTGTTGGCTAGCCGAACATTGGGCCCCTGTTTGGCAAAGGAACAAACGAAAGGCGTATGAACTGATCAATCAGTCACCGGCTCCCAATGGGCGCGATTCCCTGAATTCGCTCCGCTGCCTTGCGGACAGGCTATTCAGCCAAAGGCTCGGGGTGGTGTCCCCTAAGTCAACACCCTACTTCGGCTTGGACAACCGGGTAGTATTTCGCCCTCTGACGAAACCATGGACTTTGATGTGTTGCGTGCTTTCTTTTACTATTTCTGTACCTTGTTTTGAGTTCCATGGTTTCCGATGGTGCAATGTCTATTCACAGACTGTTGCAAAAATATATATATATATATAGCCGAACTATCTCTTTGTGGTGCCAGCTGGGCGGTTCGGGTCTACCCCGCCATTCCAGAAAATAGTTCGGCGGCGGTGTTCAATGCCGTGGCAGGTTTTTACCTGGCAAGCGTTCTCCATGTAAAAAGCCACATATGTCCGTTTAACAACACTGTGACGTGGCGAATGTGACTCGCCACTAAATAGCCAATGCCCCTTGCTTCGCATTGTACTCCAGCAAGTATGTGCTGACGTCATGGGAAGGATTGGACCCCTGTTTGGTAACCGACCAAAACATAGGCGTATGAACTGAGTAATCGGTCACCGGCTCCCAATGAGCGCGATTCCCTGTATTCGCCACGCTGCCTTGCGAGTAGGCTATTGAGCTATTGGGGTGGTGGCCCCAAAGACAACTCCCTACTTCAACTTGAACAACCGGGTAGTATCACGCTTACTGACAAAACCATGAAGTGTAATTCGCCTATACTGCGCTTAACTACCTTTGCTTCCGCTGCTCACACACGTTCACATGCTACCCGCCCATTCGTTACCAAACATTTTCATCCGTTGCCAGCTGATTCCTGTTTCCATGATTCCACTCCGGATGGTTTCGTCGATGCCCACAGAGATCGCTCAGGGGCCCTTCTTCAGCCTCGGTCCACGATCCGTGTGGCACGCTTCAATGTATATACACTCATGCAGATCGATCAACGGGCTCACTTTGGTATCCCTCGTCATCGATGTTTGCTGTCTTTCCGAGACCTAATTGCAGGATCGCAGTACTGTGACTGAGTTGAGATCTCCCACCGACAACGGAGCCATATTTCAGCTACGTCTATCTGGTGACAAAGAAGCATCCGCGGTAGACTTGGCTTGCGTTGGTGTAGCACTAAGCATAAAAGACGGGGCCGCATTGCTAGACTGGTTCCCGATTAACAGTCTGCTATGGGCAGTTCGACTTCGGGGACGTAAAATCAATAGACATCAAAAGGAGAGACACAACCTGTTTGTGATAGCAGCCTACGTTCCAACTGGTTGTAGTTGTGACTCGGTCAAGGACGATTTCAAACGTGGACTTCACTAGCTTTTGAGCATAGTTTACAAATACGAAATCCGGTTTGGTTCATCGCAAAACGAGAATGTTGCCCTTGCTGAGGGTCTAAACGTAAGGGTCGGTCGTCTGTCATCTTGTGAAAGTCACCTCGGTGGTCACCATGCACTCGATGAGAGCCACTCAGATAATGGAGAAAAATTTCTCACGTTGTGTGAAGAAAATCGTCTGTTTCTCTCGAGCATCAGTTTCAGGCATTTCAGAAGATGTTCCGATACTTGACACCCACTCACGGTCTCAGATTGACATCGCAATTAATTAAAGATGGCTGAGTAGCGTAAAGGATTTCAGATCCAAGTTGACTCAAACCATGCTCTTGTTGGTGCGAACATCAGCACGAGTTTCGGAGGGTCCCTGATAAAGTAGCACTGCAGGATATAAAATAATAAACTATCTACCTTTTTGGTTCAACAGAGCTATCAAGCCCCCCTGGCCGATGTACACAGCTGCGACCTACCGCAAGATATTGATGAACACTGGACGTTCATGCAGAATACCTAGATTGCTTCAGGGCAGTCAGTCTGTGATCTTATTTAGCACACTATGAAGGCATAGATCGCCACGCGCTCCCTGGATCTATTTGACCGCCGCAGAAATATTCAAGCGGAAACTAATCATAAGGAAGTGCGCCGTTCTGTCAGTCGGCAGCTCAGACAAAACCTACGTATTGACCATGAAACTTGGCGGTTTCAGCTTGCTTTGGAAATGGGGGCCCGCTGCCCTGTATGACAACACTCTGTAACTCTTACA